ATAGAACGCATTCCGGAAGGAAAAGCGTGTAAAGAGCTCATTCCTGAGGGGAAAGGAGCGAACAAATCAAATAAATTAAATTGTAACAACATACCAACTATAGCATCACACGGAAAACAACGTCAATGTCGTAAATGTTATCAACATTTTGATACTAGCAATGAATTATTCAAGCATCTTAGAAATCAATGTTATCCTGACGAAATAAGACAGCAAATAAATAAATTAACTGAACATATTAGCGATGATAAACAACGAGAACAAATTTTAAAAATTTTATGGAAATATGGAAAATTATTTGACATTAGTGAACCATCAAAAATTGATATAATTTTAAAAAATGCTATTGATACTGGTACACATCGTCCTGTTCATACTCCACCATATAGAAAATCAAACAAAGATCAAGAAACCTTAAGAAAAGAAACAGATAAATTATTAAAAAATGGAATTATTGAACATTCAACATCACCATGGTCTTCACCTATCGTTTTAGTAAAAAAGAAGGATGGAACAACAAGATTTTGCGTCGATTATCGTCGCTTAAACCAAATTACAACAAAAGATGCTTTTCCATTACCAAGAATTGATGATATTTATGACCAATTAACAAAAGCAGCATATTTTACAAAATTCGATTTCAAAGCAGGTTATTTTCAAGTACCATTAGATAAATCAGATCGACCAAAAACAGCATTTTCAACTCGAGATGGACACTTTCAGTTCAAAGTATTACCTCAAGGTCTCACTAATGGACCACCAACATTTCAACGTATTGTTAATCAAATATTAGGTCCAAACAGATGGAAACATGTACTCGCCTATATCGATGATATTATTATTTATTCACAAAATTTTAATGAACATTTAAAACATATCGAAGAAGTATGTTTATTATTACAAGAAGCCAATTTTAAATTAAATGTTGACAAATGCGAAGTTGCAAGAGCAGAAATATTATTTCTTGGACATGTAATTAAAGCAGGTACTATTAAACCTGATCCAGACAACATCCGTGGTTTGACCGAAACACGTGAACCAACATCAGCTGAAGAAGCATTTAGATTCGTCAAAGCAGCAGAATATTACCGAAAATTTATTCCAAAACTTTCCACCATCGCCGCACCATTACATCAATATTCTCCAGCAACAGTACAACAACAGAAGAATAATAAAAAATTAAAATTTGAATTATCTGCTGAAGCTAGAACAGCATTCCACCAACTAAAGAAAATCTTAACAACTGATCTTATTCTTGATTTACCTGATGATACATTATTATTTAAATTACAAACTGATGCTTCTGTAGATGGAATTGGTGCTGTTCTATTACAAATTACTTCCAATGGTGATCGACCATTGGCATATATGTCAAAGAAATTAACAAGAACACAAATTAATTGGCCAACAATTGAACAAGAATGTTATGCAATAGTACAAGCAATAGAAAAATGGGACAAATATCTTCGTGGACACGAATTTATATTAGAAACTGACCATGAACCATTAATTCATTTTGCAAATAAAGAACAATTAAATAAAAGATGTGAACGATGGCGATTAAAATTAGCTGAATATCGATTTAAGGTGAAACATATTCAAGGTAAGAAAAATCATATGGCAGATTATCTTTCAAGATCACCAGTCGACATAGCTGAAGAAGATATTGAAGAACGAACTCAGTATGAATCAACATCAACACAAACAGATTTATCATTTTCATCATTAAATGATAATTTGATTCCATTAAAAATAACAACAGCAATTACTAGAGCTCAAGCCAAATTACAACAACAAGCAACGGCAACACCATCTATTAAACCGACGGATGGAAAAATTAATGAGCTCATCTCACAAGGGAAAGTAGCGACTGATGAAGAATTGATAATCAAACCATCAGATGAAAATCCAAACAAGATCATCCTATTTGATATGGATGATTTAAGAAAATGTCAAGAAGAAGACAAAACAATTCAAGAAATAAAAAAGAATATTAAGAATAAAAAACATTATTTTATTGAAGATGGAATATTATTTAAAAAACAACAACTACCACTTCCACCAGTGCCATACGTTTCAGTAGGACGAATACGTGCTGATATATTAAAAATTTATCATGATACACCTGCTAATGGAGCTCATTTTGGCCGTGACAAAACAATAAGGAAAATTCAAGAACGTTATTATTGGCCAACAATGATAGCAGATATTAAAAATCATTTAAATTCATGTTTACCATGTGCACAAAATAATTATCGCCGTCAAAAATTACCAGGAAAATTAAAACCAATACCACCACCCGAAGGAATATGGAAATTATTAAGTATGGATTTTCATGGTCCAATTACTCCAACATCAAAAAAAGGAAACATATATTATATCTCTTACAGACGTTTTATCAAAATTTGTTATTGCAAAAGCTGTTCGAGATTGTTCAGCAGCAACAGCAGCAAAATTTCTTATAAACGATGTTATATTAAAATAGGGCACTCCAACATGTATATTAACCGATAATGGTACTCATTTTACTTCTCAAGTTATGAACAAATTATTTGAAAATATTGGAGTCACTCATCTTTATTCCACAGTATATCATCCACAAACTAATGGACAAATTGAACGATTTAATGCTACGATGGATGGAAAAATTGCCGCCTTATGTAATGAACGACGCACGGATTGGGATGAAGTATTACAATTTGTTACATTTAATTATAATACATCAATACATGCAACAACAAAACAAACACCATTCGAAATGATGCATGGAAGACAAGTTACACTTCCATTTGATCAACAAAAAGAAATTATTTCGCTCACACAAGATCCAGAGCACAGTCAAAAAATTAGAATATATCTCGAAAAATTAGTAAATGCAGCTCGAAACAATATTATAAAAAATCAACAACAATATAAAGCTCGATATGATTTACATAGACAAGATTTATCATTAAAACTCAATGATCTAGTTTTGGTAAAAACAAGAAACATTAGAAATAAATTTGATATACGATATGAAGGTCCATTTAAAATTATAAAACAATTAGGAATTAAAACATTTATTGTCCAACATGTTAAAAAATTAACGTTAACAAAACAAGTGACAATGGATGTTATCGTTCCATTGGTGGAACGATGGAATTTAATCCAATAAACACATCCCGAGAGGGAAAGATGTGTATTAGATGGCACAATTAGTAAAGTAAAAATAATTATCCTTTATAATTAAGTAAAAATGATTCAGTTTGATTCAGCAGTCCATGCCGGGGAGACAGAAATTCACCTTCTCACTGACAAGGAGGGGCTGTCGAACTCGAATATTAAATATTTTTTTTCTTCTTTTTAATACTTAATACGAAATGATATATTATTCAATCATAATGTGTAACAATCGATGCACTTTAACAGTATGCGCGCACTGTTTGGCGTAAAGAATGACGCACGTGGTACCAGTTCACAACTTTACTATGATTAAAACAAGATTATGTTATGTTCACATCTAGCACATCAAACAAAGAAAAATTTATATATATCAATTTTTCACCATCGAATATTTAACATAAATATTTACTTATTGATTATCTTAATGATATGATTTATATACAAATGATTCAATTGATTTATATTTTGTAAAATCATCGAATAATAATTATTTCAAACTCAACAAACATTATTATGCTATATATTACCAATATCGAAACAACAATATACAATTATTTATCCATATAGTTGTTTAGAAATAAAAATAAATGAAAAAATTAATTTATAGCTTTTTTCAAGGTATACCATCAACAGATATTATCTATTATTTATTATTCCAAAATGAATTAAATGATAAACAATATTTATCTAAACTAATTAAATTAATGATAAAAATTGATGGAAATGGAAACCGACAATGTTCGTGTTTACAAAAAGATGATAAAATTAAATTAAAATTATTCTCGTGAAAATTCTATACCCAATCAATTGATACAACTCTTATAGAAGATCTATTACTAATGGATTTGCAATTTCAATCATTTCATGTTTACCTTGAAGATCATTATGTTTATGTCTTAAAGATTTATTTAGTCATTTATCAACGTTTCAACAAAATACCCCAACAAATATAAGAGAAATTCAAATAAAACTTGAAAATATGCAAGATGAACTCAACCTTGATGTGTGGGGACACACATCCAATATGGGAGGGGAGGAATGTTAGCGGTGATTCATTCTCATTTCTTTCCCTTAATATCTTACTAT